AGCAGGTAATTCCAAACAAGCCTGCCTGGCTCATTTAGAAACTCTTAGCAAAGATTTTGCAAGATGACCACACATCTGCACCTGGGAACAGCTTATGGGACATGGACCAAGGAAGGATTCACCCTCTGTTCAATCCCTGACCTTCCCACAGCTGTGATCTCAGTGTGTGCTGAACGCAGGTTAAAAAACCAAAACCAAAAACAAAGAAAAAGAAAAGGAGACCAACAAAAGCCAGCAAGTCCCTGTAAGGTATCTGCGCTACACCATGGATTGCTGGTGTTTATTTTGCATGTATAAATGTTTATAAATGTTTTAGATATAAACTACGACAGAAAGTTTGGTAAGATTTGAAACTGACCTACCTTTCTATATGTTTATTTAATCTTCCTGTGCCTTTTAATAGCAAATGTTCGAAGTATGTTCCCAGATCACCAGCTTTCCTTTCAACATTTGAAATCTACACCATAGGGAACTTTTCATAGGATATGTGTTTAACGACAAACATTGGTTTCACCTCTCAGAACAATTTCATTTGATGAAAGAAAATGTTCTGTTCTTTTCTAAAACACGCTGTCTGCACTTTTAGAGTTTCTACAGCTATGCAAAAATCCATTAGAATTTAAAATCGAGCCCTGACTAAATCACAATTACCATACAGCTGTTACAATAAGCATTAGTTTGACAGCTATGCAAAACTGAGTTAAAAACCCATCATAACCGTTTATCACAAAAGTGTAAGTCCCCCATCTACGTAACTTTGCATATGAACTCTCACTGCAATGAGCTCATCATCTTAGATTTGCTGTTATGAACACAGACCACACTCACCAAATGCCAGTGCTATCTGCTGCTAAGAACCATCTTGAACTAAACTACATAAACCCCATGTGTTTGGGTAGGGCAGAAATGGACACAAGACTACTGGGCATAAAGAAACAAAGACCACGGCGGTCACCGTAAAATTTACAACACCAACAAAGCAATTGTGACTGACTTTTAATCACAGAGAGCAGGAGATCTGAGTCGTAGAGCTGTGGTAAAAGCCAAACAAGAACAGCAAGATCTCTCCACTCGTAAAAATCCTTCTCTGAATGAAACCTCAAGTGAGACATAAACTAAACCAGAAACCTCATCCATTACCACCTATTCCTATTTCTCTTTCCAAGCCATTACAAGACTCTCAAACTATTACACATTCACCTGTTTTCTGAATGTTCTCCAGCAAATAACCAGGAAGCACGACACACCTTATCTGCTATTGAATAGCTTCAGACTGCCACAGAAGGACAGTTTCAGCACAGAAGCAAGGTTTTCTAGCAGCTACAGTAAAAGGGCAGAGTGGCAGTGCGCCCATCAAACCATCCCAAATTCCCTGAGGATGCTGACAGCCTGTGTAAGAGGTGTGGGGGGAAGGGGAAAGCAGAAGGCAGGAGCATCCCCTTAGCCCCCTGCTATGGGGCTGTGTGGCTGCGCTGTCCCAAAATGCTCCTCACAGCAGGAGCGATCCCTGCTCAGTGAACAGGTGATTTCCACCAGCTTCCATCCCCAATTCACCATCTTCTCCCATGCCGTGGGAACGGTTATGTCACAGCGGGCCTGGTAGCCATGTCCTTATAACACTTCACCACACATTTCCCTTCAGTTGATAAGAACAGTGCCATTGCACAGACAAAACAGTGCCTGCAAGAAATAAGGAGCAGGATAAAAACCAGATGGCTGAAGTGAAGCGCAGGAAGACAGGAGCGACGCTGGTAGGGAGGAGAAATCATTCTGATGAGCTGAGACTGTGAACATGGCTCTCCACACAAAGGGAACATAGCCTGCCACGACACAGCCTAAATATGACATGAAATTTGAATGAAACATTGTTATCTCTATCACCTAAAGGCTGAATTCTTTTCCAGCAAGTACCAGATGAACACGACACACGTTTTTTAATTTAACATCAGGCTAACGCAGCTTCAGCTGTTTAGGTGACTACCTGTCAGCCACAATCAAAAACACCAGTTTGAAAAATGTGAAGTGATCTGTAACACAAGTCAAGAACACGGACAGCATATTCCCTTACAGTACATCTGTACCTTCACAGGTCCCTTCCAGGCTGGTGCAAGCCTTGGCAGTGGTAGGAATCACTCTCACATCCCAATCCCTCAGCAACTGGCTCCATCCATACAAAGAAAAATGTTCTAGAGGAACCAAAACACCCCTGCAAGCCCAGACTCTACTTTACACTGTGTCCAACACGGTGAATCAATTCTTATTCAAATGACATGAGCTCCAAGAACCCAGGTCAGGAGAACTTGAAGCACAAAATATGATTCACAGTATTTCCCCTGTTCTTGCTACAGATAAAAAAAAAAAAAAAAGTTTGAATGTTTCAGTCAACAGGTTATAAATGTATCATTCATCACCACCTACAAAGCCTTGAGATGAAACTTTAAAGAACCAAAGCAAGGTCTTCTTGACACTGTTCCCTGAAGCACAGCATAAACACTGTCAGGTCATATATGGATGCAGTAAAACTAATTTGATTGGTATAGATAGCAGGCATTGATCCCACGAGCTTCTGCATGGTACTTGTCTTGGGACTTTTCTCCATGACATTTCAATTAAGGAATTCTCAAAATATACGTTGAATAGCATTAATATAGCAGCTATTAAAAAGATTAACGCTATGTTTTAAAACCAGGGTATTTTTTTTTTTAATATAGAAAAAAAAAAATCATCAAGCAGTTGTACTTCTTATAAGATCCCTCAGAAATCCACTTTTGCTTCTGCACCACATATTCTTGGAAAATCCAAACCTCCCTCCTGGAATAGATGGCATGATCCTCAATAGATGATGAGAACTGGCAAAAGCAACACAGAAAGGACGCGTTGCTACACTAGCTTTGGTGGAAGTGAGTGACACGACCAAAAGTAGTTAACAATTAGCAAGAAAAACCGGAAAGGATGATAGGAGACCTTGCTTTGCCAGGGGTACTCAATTCTGCAGAGATACCGGCTAAACACCTTCATGGGGCAAGGGTTTGTCCAAAAAAACTACCCGTCCTTGCAATTCCATGGGAAACAGGGAATCTAAAGTCTCACAGCCCAGGGAGGTCCTAGGATCTTCTTACTTAACATTGGCTTCATCGCTTCTCAAACGCAATCTCCACAATTCAGGAAGGGTGACAATAAATTGGAGGGAATCTAAGAGAAAACTGGGAGAACAACTAAAGTAGAAAAAAATATTAAAATATCTGGTAACAAATTTACAAAGATTATGCTTTTGTACTTAAGAAAAGTAAGTAAAGCAAGAAGTTAAGCAAAATTCCTAAGAAATCATAGTCAAGAAGTCATGATACATAATGGGATTTTCAGTGTCAATGGTCTACAAATAAGACTCAGTGGCCAGAAACTAGAGGTAGCCCTCTTCAGATCAGAAATCAAAAAAAAAAAAAAAAAAAAAAAAAAAAAAAAAAAAAAAAAAAAAAAAAAAAAAAAAAAAAAAAAAAAAAAAAAAAAAAAAAAAAAAAAAAAAAAAAAAAAAAAAAAAAAAAAAAAACCACAAAGCAGTGTATTTGTATACTTTACCAAGAATTGTGCTGAATTTTGCCTCATTGGAAATTTTTAACTGCACCTTCTAAAATGTAAACTCTGGTTTCAAACACAGACTCGGGGGGGTGGAGGAGTGGAGTAAGTCCTATGGCCTGCATTATGAAGAGGTCACACTAGATGATTGCACCAGTCCTTTTGACTTGATAATCTATTAATCTTATCAGACACGTCTGACCACTTTCAGAACCAAATGCAAAGTCATCTATCCATAAGCGCACCTATTTTGACGGGGTATTTTCAGCCCCTTGAGACTCTTTTACCTTTAAACGTCGCCGAGATGGGAACTGCGGATAAATCAACCCACAGGCATAAAAAAAAAAAAAAAAAAAAAAAGGCAGGCGACAACGAAAAACCTCATCGCCCAGAAAACACTCCTTTTTAGCTGGCAGAGTTACACAATCAAAAAAAGCAACCCGAAGCCAATAAGATATCCTGTATTTTTCCCCCCCGCACTTCCCGGAACTTTTGCAGAACTCTCGGCGGGACCGAAGTTTTCAGCTGAGAGGAGGCTCCGCACGCCCCGCAGGGAAGAGGCTCCCCGGGGCTCCGCGGGGCCGGGGGCGGGCGCGGGGGATGCCGGCGCGGCCGCCGCGGTGCCCCGGCCGCGGGCAGCTTTGTTCGGGCGGGCAGCGCCGGTGCCCGCGGCCCCGCGATCCCTCCGGCAGGGACGCGTGAACTCTTGAACCCGCGCCGCAGCCCGACGGGAGCCTCCGGGGCAGGGAGACCGCCCTGCCCGCCGCCGCCACCGGGACAGCGGGGGCACAGCGCGGAGCCCCCGCCCGCCGGGACGCGGCCTCCCTCCCGCCCGCCCCACGCCGGCCCGGCCGCCCCGGGCCCGGCTCGCCCCCCGCCCTGCCCTGCCTTGCCCTGCCCCGCCAGGCCGCCCTCGGCCAGGCCCCGGCGCGGCCCCCCGGCCTTGCCCGCCGCGGACCCTCCTCACCTGGGCTTGAGGGTGCCGGCGCCGCGCTCGTAGGCCCAGGAGGCGGCGGGCGGCGCGGCGCCCGGGGCCAGGGGCTCGGCGAAGCCGGGGGTCGCGGGGTAGTTCCTGTCCATCATCGGGGCTCCGCGGGTGGGGGGGCCCTGCGCGCAGGAGGGCGGCGACGGCGGCGGCGGGGACTGAGCGGGGCGCGGCGGGGGAGCGGCGCCTCATGCGGGGCGGGCAGCGCCGCGGCCCCGAGCGGCCCCTGCGCTCCGCTCCGCTCCGCTCAGCGGCGGGCGGCGGGCGGAGCCGCGGGTGGCGGCGGCGGCGGGGGCTGCGCGGCCGCCGGCCCCATGTCGGGCTGCGCGTTCCCGGGACGCTCCTCCCCCGCCAGCGCACTGGGGCGCACGGAGCTCCGCGTCCGGGGGCAGGGAGGCCGCGGCGGAGGGGCCGCCGGGGCCGCCGCCAGCAGCGCCGGCGGGGGGAGCGGGAGCAGCAGGAGGAGGAGGAGGAGCTGGAGGTCTGTGACTCGCGGCCCTGAGGGGGGAGCGCGGCGGCGGCGGCGGGAGCGGAGCGTGGCGGGGGGGCGGTGTAGCCGCCACCGGGGCGGGGTGGGGTGGGGGGGCCGAAGGCGGGGACGGGCGGGGTGGCGGTGTCGGGGGAGGCCGGTTCCTCGGCGGGGCGAAGCGAAGCGCTGGCGCTTTGTTGGAGCAGCCGGGGCGGGGCCATGTTGTTCCCGCGGAGGGGAAGCGCCGCCAGCCGCGGGCTCCGGGGCCGCCGCCGCTGCCGCCAAGATGGAGCCCGGCGGCCGCCCCATTGTACGGCGGGTTGTGGGGCGGCCCTGCCGCCCTGCCCCGGCCGCTGTCACCGCCACCATCCCCCGGCGGGGACGCCGCTCCCCACGCCCGGCCACCTCCCCCTTCCCGCGGCGGGGCCCAGCGCCCTCCACCTCCGCTTTTATCTGTCTGTATGCTGGAGCTTTCCAAAAGGCTCCAGGCATCCCCCCACCCCCACCCCCCCTCCATCAGTTAGTCGTTGCGGGCCTGGAGCCGGGATAAAGTCGTATAATGGAATTACAGAACGGTTTGGGTTGGAAGGGGACCTTAAAGGTTAGCCCGTTCCAACACCCTGCCATGGGAAGGGACACGTTCCATTAGCCTGGGTTGCTCAAAGCCCCCTCCAAGCTGGCCAAGAACACTTCCAGGGATGGGGCATCCACAGCTTCTCTGGGCAACCTGTTCCAGTGCCTCACCATCCTCACAGTTAGGAATCTGTTCTTAATATCTAACCCTATTTTCAGTTTAAAGCCATTCCCCCTTGTCCTGTCACTGCATGCCCTTCTAAAATGTCCCTCTCCAAAAGTCAACTAACAGGAGAACAGTAAGAATGTCTATTTATTCTTTCTTTATTTTTATTTCGGGCAGTCTAAGTTTAAATGGTAAAATGCCAGAGAGGTTCTAGAGGCCTACTTTAGTCAGGACTGGCTAAAGCAGTTTATTTTTATTTAGAGCAGTGTAAGCCACCTGGTTTGCAGACAGTAAATTCCTGTGTCTTCTGCTGCGTGCTCTTTAAAACAAAGCATAAAGGAAATGGGCACCGGCTGCACAGAACAGAGTAGGAGCAAGGGGAACATCAGGGGGATGGTGGATGAACTGTGTCTTGCTTTCCCTGCAGACTGAAGGTACGAGGGGCGAGATGAGCAGGAGGAATGTGCCTCGGAGGTAAAGATAAGGAATATGGTCTGGAAAAGAGGGTGACTGCACCTGAAGGCATTGCTCAGAACAGGAAGGTGTATGCTAATGAGTAAGTAAGCCTTTTGAAGATTCAGTTTGTAGCACTCCAGGCAATACTGAACCACAGACTGAAATGAATTCTGTAGTGAAATGCATTCAGAAACTTGGCTGCAGTCAATCAGATGCTAAAAAAAATAAAAAAATAAAAAGAGTTACACAAAAAAATCTCAACACTGGAATGAAAAAGTGGAGTGATCAACATTAAGTGAGAAAACAGAAAGGTAAGAGATGTTGGGAGGAAAAGCTGAGATTTTACTTTTCTCGTGCCTCGTTTCAAGAAGCAGCAAAGAAAACTACAGGAAGAAACACAGGCTCGGATGAGAAGGGAAGAGTAAGTGTGAAAGTCATCAGCGCTGAGGAGAGGAGAGAAGTCACCCAGAGGCCAGGGCAGAGGGTGGAGGGAGAAGCAGCAGCAAAGCCAGAAACCAGCAGAGTGAGTTTTCCTCGTGTTTGCATAAGTTAGCACCTGTATTGCTTGCAGCTGGAGCAGCCCATGTGGGGGGTGGGAGACCTTCCTTCCCTGGGAAACAGGAGGATTGCTGTTTTACATATGAACGAGGCCTGATGACAGAAAATTACTCCAGTTGTATGCTAATGGTGAAGAGTTTACGCTGCTGATGCTATTGGAAGTACCATTTCCAGCAGGGAAGGACCCACAGTTTTTTATTTCCCTGCAGGATCTCCACTAATCTCCATTATATTAATGCACTTGGAGTGCATTGTTTTCCTCAAGTGGGCCTGAGAGGAGGGTGATAAATGGACCTAAGTGATACAAAATGCTGCAGCGTTTGGTTATCTGGAGTAAGCGTGTTGTGCTCCCAAATTTGGAACGATGTATTAATAAATTGAAAAACTCCTGGTGACTTGTTTGATTTTTTTTTTGTTTGTTTTTCTCTCAAGTAATGGCAACGTGAACTTTAAAGGACACCCTAACGTTGTGCATTTTCATTACAGGATCTCTCTAAAGGGAAGGTGAGGGTATGAACGAGGCTGTAAAATCACGTTACATGAGAAATCACAGCAAGCAGGGGAACACACACAATTGGTTTAGATGGCTAGATGAACTCACTGTCAATATGCCACAGTCACAGTGTTTCCTTGAACATTGCTGGAGTAGATCCTTTTCCTGGTAATCAAATAGTGAAGCTGAGCGAAAACAGAAATTGTGGCAGCTGTTGTAAAGTTAAATTTATTTTACATGGTTTTAATGGAGGTGGAGTAGACTGAAAACTTAATTGGTAATGTCCATAACCATCAGATAAAGTCAGTTTATCCAGTGTTTTGTTTTCCCTGTGTATAAGACAAATCTGTTTGTCCCGAAACCAGCCCGTTTCCTCGCTGCTTGTTGCCATCCTCCGTCTAGGAAATTTTCCTCGAAGTGTGTGCATTTTATCTTTTTGTAACCTAGTGATATTTTGTAACACTGTTCTCTAAGACAACGAAAAAGTCTGCCTAGAGTAAGTGTTCTGGCAGAATCCTGGTATCCAGG